AATAATAATATTAATAATAATGATAATAATAATAATAATAGTGCAAGGTGACTGTTCTATTCTGATCCATTCTACAAGTTTGCTCACCTTTGTTGACAATAACTTCATCATAGATGTCAAAATCTGTATCAGTTCTTTTTCCTATACTGGCAAGACTTTGCGTAGAGCTGTCTAAAGGAACATCATCATATAGGTTCTCATCTCTAAGGTCCTTTGATTGGTTAGCATCATAAGCTGCCAATTCTTTGCTTGTATTATCATTTTTGGAATACAAATAGTCATAAAATGATTGTCCTTGTTGAACTGTCGTGTCTGTAGAGTCATCATAAATAGAAAAAAGCCTTCGTCCATCCCCATTATCTGTTATGTCTTCCACGGATAATGTCATATTTTCTTTGAAAGGAGTTGACATCACCACAGGCCTGCTTATTATATCCCGTGTTGCTTGCTCTCCTTCTGAAAGTTCTTCTTTTGATTGCTTGTGCTTTTCTCCCTTGTGGATTTCGGTATCAGCTCCTGGAAGTCGTGGTAGCTTTCTCCGTGGAGGTTTAACAGGATCAATTTCATTCTCTTTAGATTTTCTCATTTTTACTTCAACTTTATCATCTTTTGAGTTGCGCTTGAATGAACTCACTCGTTTTGGTCTAGGAGGTTTTATGGGTTCAGGAGAAGTTGGTTCTCTCGACTTGATTTTTCCTTTATCTTCAACATTTATATCTTTTATTGCCAATGGCACCCACATTTCTTTATTTGTTGTATTGCTGCGAGTTCTTTGTACTGTCGTATGGAATTCCCCTTTTTCTTCAATAGATTCACTAGTTACCCAACTGACACCTTTAAGTGAGCTATCTGAAAGCCTTCGCTCCTTGACTGAAGCCGTATCACTAAAATCCATGTCTTCGTCATCAGCTGTATAAAAACTGCTCTTTTCTTCCCGGGAATTTTCAACTTTCTCTACTCTGATTTGTACATCTTTACTGGTATCTTTGGGTTTTCCATGTTGTGTTGGCTCTTTAACATCTTTTTTGGTCTTTATTTTCTTTCCAGAATCATTAAAAGGTTTAATTGAGGCTTCCTTGCCTTTCCTGTTTGATTTTTCCATGCCCTTATTAATTGATAGGTGCTTGCAGTTTTGTCTGTCTTACATCATCATATCACATATTAAGTACGTGACAATGCAATAGAAATGTCCATCTGTTAATCCATAGAGAAACTCCAACAAGGAGAATCACTCCAAATCATCCAGGAAGTAGAGGAACTCAATATGCATATGGCTCTGTGGATGACATTTAAATTATTAGACATTTATGTAACTAACTAGTTATATTAGCTATATTCCTTGTTTGGCGAATACTTTCAAGTTCGCTCTAAAAACTAGAATGCTTTACACAGCACATTTTACAAAGTTAATATAAAAATAGGCTATTATTTTGCCATATTTAATGACGCATTGTATGTAAACAAAAACACACCAAGAATGCAAGAAATTTGAGATTAAGATATTTGTCATTAAGTCAATCATAAAATTTTAAAAATAGATTGGCATCACGCCTTAGAATTTGGAAAGAATTTAATATAACATCCTACATAACTATCGGTAGGCCTTTCGGCTTTAGAATAGAAGTGACAATGACTTGCTCATAGTCTCGGAGTTTTAAACGATGTATAAAGCTTATGTGAGAACTAGAAGCCGAGAAATTCATGTCGTATCTGATCTTCAAATCAAAATGGTTAAGCTTAAATCTGTAGCATTATTTCTCATATTATTTGACTACAATATCCCTCCTGCCACGGCCCAACTCATTATGCTTACCTTAAGTGGCATGTTACCTTTGAAGAAATCTTGAAAAGCATAAAAGTAATCTTGGTAATTTTAATTTTTTTACCGAGAGATCACGAGAAATGTCGTCTATACGGAAGGACTGGAACGAGCACCACCAACACAACAAAACACGTAAAGCACTCTGGGAAACCGAGTATTGCATAATTAAAAGGAAGCTTTCATTTTTTAGGAGGGGGGGTGGGGG